TCATTTTAACTCTTTTTGTTTCCCTCAGCATCTCATGAGTCAAGACCTTTTTTATGTGACTCCAGGAATAAATCATTTAGTAGAATTTTCATGCTATGGTAACCTAAAAAGGTGTTATTTTCATTGTCTGTGAATAAAATGGACATATAATATTTATGGTAGACACTTCTGAGGGCAGGGAAAGTTTTGGCTTTATTATCTCTCTGAATTCTTTTTTATAAGGAGTATGTTTGTTTCATGTATTAAATACTGCATTATGTATCTTGGCAAATCTAGCAAAGTGGCATTTAATTGGCAGGTGACCAGCAGAAGTCATGTGGTACTGATGAGTATTACTTCGCTCTTGATTTTTCTAATACAGTTGTTCTCAACATTTTTAGATTCCAGGCACCCCTGCTATAACTTTTGTGAACCCCATTTCAAAAGCCAATTAATTTATTATAGTGCTTACCTCCTTGCATAGGGGCTGGGTGGCAGTGGCGGTGCTGGGGGAGAAAGTAGGAGTGGTCCGACAAGGGTGAGCAAGTGGTGTGCTTACCTCTTCTCATGGGGGCCGGGCAGCAGGTGAGGTGAGAGGAGAGGCTGAAGTTGAGAATCATTGTTGTAACAGCTCTTGTGGTTCTATATTTTTTTTTATTCAAGGATAAAGAGTTAGGACACGTCTATTAGTTTTGGCAACTGCTAAAATATGGTGCTTTTAAAACTAGTTCAGATTCACTGTAAAGTAGCTTCAGTTTCATTGATTTTTGAAGAACAACCTTTTATTCCTTTAGGGCAAAAGATGTAGGGCACCATTGTACTGGAAAACTAGTATACTAGAAACTCTTAATTGGTTCATCATACTTACAATTTTTTAAACTTAGAATAATTTTTATACATTTACTTTCAATACTATCTTATCCTCATATATGCCTTTTTTTCTTTGTACTACCTTGTCACGTACTGAGCCTAATTACCTGAGAGCTTTTATAGGAACCACTAAGAAGCCAGTTGGGTGTGCATATTTACATACAAAAAGCTGTTAGAGATGCAGTGTAGAATACTTAATTAGGCAATACCAGAAAAAGATCATGCATTAGATCAGGGGTAGGCAATGTTTTTTGGCCAGAGTGCCAAAAAACCCCACAATGCTTACCTTGGAAGGCACCGGAGTGCTGACATACCAGAAAAACAAAACGAGGGCAGGGGGTACATGGCAGGATGCCCTGTTTGTGCCCCTGCCCCCAGCCCAGTCTTCATGGCTATCAGCAGCTACCCAGAACCTGGGCCAGCTGTAGCCAGGAGGCTACTGCCTCCCCACCCCAGCCCTGGCCCTAGCTGCCTCCCAGCCCCAGACCTGACCCCGGGCTCCAGGGCAGCAGCAGATATTGGCAGTGCTCCCTGCTGTGCTGTCCTCGTTGCTGCTTCTGCAGAGCAGCGTGTGGAACCGGGCACAGCGGGCAGTGCAGAAAGCTGCCTGCTGCTCTAAGCTCCTCGCTGCCCTGGCCATACTTCCCCAGCAGGTGGGGGCAGCAGCGAGGGGCACAACCCTGCGTGCTGTCCATGCTGCTCCCGTGCACACAGGGGAAGTGTGACCTGGCAGCACAGAGCTTGCAGCAGCAGGCAGCTTCCCTGTGTGACCCCTCTGTGAAGTGGTGCTCTGGGTTGCATGTGCTGTGCTGCTGGCCCTGCTGCTATCCTGTGGGCCTGCTGGAGCACAGCGTGTGACCCAGAGTGGCAGCGCACAGAGGGGCCACACAGGGAAGCTGCCTGCTGCTGCAAGCTCCGCGCTGCCCGGGTCACACTTCCCTTGTGTGCACGGGTGCAGGGTGGGCAGTATGCAGGGTTGTGCCCCTCTGGGGCAGGGAGGTAGCAGTAGTCTGTAGCCTCCCGGCTGCAGCTGGCTTAGCTTCTGGGTAGCTGTTGATAGCCACGGAGCCCGGGCTGCTTGCAGCAGGTCTTCCATCCTCCCAGCTGGCTTTTGGGAGCAGCCCAGGCTCTGTGGGTATCAGCAGCTACCCAGAACCTGAGCCAGGAGGCTGCCTCCCAGCCCCAACGCGTGCCGAGGAAAATGGCTTTGTGTGCCATGCTCGGCACTCGTACTGGGGGTTGCCGACACCTGTATTAGATTATAGTTTTAGTTTTTACATAACCATTATGATATTTTTGCCAGTATCGGTTTGTGGCAGAGCCACTTGGACCCATGCCTTAAACCAGTTTTGCCAAACCTTTTCCAGCCCAAAGCACAGTTACTTTAATAAAACTTTTCCTCAGCACGCCTGTTAAGGCATTCCTATCCTCATACCTATGGTAGCTCGTTGCCACGACAAAATTCCGCGGCACACCTGTTCATTTCTGTTGGCACACTTTTGTGCCATGGCATGCTGGTTGGGAAACACTGCCTTAAACACAAGAACATCCTTTTTCTCTCTAGCCCTCTACCTCAGGTGACTGTATTACTTCTGGTATTATTTAACTCAACAATTTTGGGGTTCTTCTAATGTGATTTCCTGTAATTTGTTACTTGTGTCTTGAAAACTTGTAACAGCACGTTGTGTGAGGGCAAGGTGGTAGCAGTTGCCCGGCAGGGCTTTAAACCCATGTCTTCTTCAGCTTAAGATCTGCTATATGGTACTGGGTAAGAGAGAAAGTCACTTAAATTAAAATTTTCTCCACCCATTTAGTTTTCTGTGAACTTTTCTAAACTCATAATTGGAATTAATGAGACTCTTAGCTCAGTTCTCTGCAAGTGGCTCACTTTAACTTTTTTCCCCTCAGCTTTAACATCTTAGGGTTCAAGATTTTTTTTTTTTAATGTGACTCCAGTAATATTTCTCCCTGAAGGATTTTCCTGCTGTAGTAACCTAGAAAGGCATTGTTATGTTTTCATTGCCTAGGATAGCAAGAGAACAGGCTCAATTCCCCCTTTTTATTTTATTTTATTTTATTTATTTATTTTTTACATGAAATAAGAGAGACAGACCTCTACCACTCTACACAGTTTCTTGCAGTATTAACTTCTGTGAAATGAACTAATTAAGAGGAGAATGACGAGGTTGGATAGTGACACATCAAAGAGCTGATCACTGTGTAAAATGCTCATATTTTATATTGCTCTTGTTATTTTTCCAAGAATTGGGAACTTATTTGATGTCCAGGTAAGAATAATGTGTCTAAGTAAATGCACAGGTTATAGGAAATGCCTTTTCTCATATTTTTGTCTCTTCTTCCTACAACAAATTTGGTTTTTAAATAAGAACTTCTGAGTGTTCAACAATTAATGTATTCCTTTTTAAATTTGCTATATATGTACACAGAGTATTCCTCATCAGGATCCTTTGATCTTAAGAAATGCAAAGCATCAAAAGGAATAGTTATGGCACCATAGTTAAGAATTAGGTTGGGGAGACTGTATGCAGTGTAGGTACTGATAAACTTTAAATGAATATTTATAAAGACCAGTGGGGGGCCAGCCTTTTTGGTAAATGTGCCACAAATTAAGTCCTGCATCTGCCTGGAGTGCCACTTCCATTCTCTTTCTCTGCTTTCTGCTGCCTGCCCTCTCCCTGATCTGCCACATGAAACACAGAGGCTGCCTATGATGCTTGTTGGCACATGTGCCACAAGTTGGATACCACAGGTATAAACATAAGTATCTTATACTAATTGATTGAAGTTTTGGCTTCTAAAGGATAAAGTGTACTAGCAGTCCAGACATGTACAGTGAGACCTGAATAATGCACCTATGTTAGCTCTGGTATCCTTTAGTTCCATTGTTTTCCTCACTCATACATACAAATGAGCAAATTGGTAAATGTAGGTATGTCAAACTTGTCAGGCCCTGTGGGCCAGATGAATGATGAATGGTATGCAGCTGGTGTGCAGACTGGATGAAGGGCACAGGGTCAGTCCATGAGTCCCACATGCTGGATCCAGCGCATGGGGATGGATGGTCTGGTTTGAGCGCCACATTGAGCATGCACCCTGGACCGGCCCTGCATGCTGAATGTGATGGGTGGGTCTGCTACAAGATTCATGGGCTTGATAGTGGGGCACTGGGGGGTGGATCTTCAACACCTTTGGGTTTAAAATGTCACCAGAGCTTAGATGTCTTTTCTGCAATGATTGATGACACATTTGACATAGTTGGCATGTACCGTAGTCTGGCTCTGTGCCTCCGTGCTATCATGAATCAAAGTGTGACCTTTCTCTAGGGACTCCCTTGTCCCCTTTCCTTGCCCCCCCTGCCAAAAAAGGAGGGGGTTGGATGTCAAGAAAAGGGGAGCTTATACTTAGCTGTAGAAGCTAATTCTTCCACGTTCTAGCAGCTACATCATTGTTTAGGGAATTCCACTCTCTGCTTATATGGGAGAAAGGCACATGCTAGCCAGACAAAGTGTGGCTGTGATGGAAGGTTTTTCTTTTTTTGCCTTATTTCGAGAAAATGCCAACTTATACAGCTGTAGAACTGCAGAGTCTGCAGAGACTCAAGGGTTTGTACAGCAGTGTCTTGGGAACAAGGAATCCATGAAGGATGGAAGGGACAGATTACTTACAGGCATACACAAGGACTAATGAGGTTGTATTTATTTTTAAGGATACAGATAGTTCATAGACATCCAAGAGACAGTATATATATCTGATGCATAGAGATAATTACATTCCTTTTTTTAATATTGATGAAAGGTACAGAGTAGGCATAGGGAGTAGGTGCAACAGATGTAGTTGCAAAAACTTTTAGTCATCTCTTGCTTTTAGGTGCTTATTCTCAGAAACTATTTCACAGTGAATTTTTCACATGTACTTTAACTGGGGATTTTGTGTGTAGCACAATCAAAATTCTTGGTATTTGAGGATGAGGCAGTATTTCTTATGGCTGAGAGCCTTTTACACTTTAAAATTTGGTTTGTGTAGTCCTCCATGTGCTGGATATGCTTCTGAGAATTGTTAATCTCACAGTACCTCCTCTTTTTAAACAAAGTCTTTATGTTCTGTTTCTGTGTGTGTTCCCTCCCCCTCAGGTTTTTAGCAGAATACCATGATGATTTCTTCCCAGAATCTGCTTATGTAGCTGCATGTGAGGCCTACTATAGCACCAAAAATCCTCGGGCAATCTACTGAAGCTTTTAACGAACAATTGAATCCTGTGTACGCTGCCCATGATATTGCTGCTTTGCCATGTGGCTGCAAGAAGAAGATGAGAAGAACTTTGAATGTCTTTCACTTGGGCAAGAGAGAATATCTTCTGTGATGCCTGGATTACTTAGCAGAGATGGACTGCTTCTTTAAGAGCTGTGCAAAGACAGCATTTTGAATTACTCAGTGGGTTCAGTGTACACTCCAGTTTTAGATGTATGAAGAAAGCCCTGCACTGATTTCTAATGCATAGGACTGCATATAATTAAAACAAAGGGGAAAGCAGATGCATTAGCAATTGGACATTTTCATGAAAACAAATGCTTCTTCCTGTGTTTCTTTTTAATGTGAACTCCTCAGCCTAAAAAAATAAGACTGACTTCACTGTTACATAAAGAGAATGCTTAATTGGCATCCTACGGATATATTTTCATGCATGGAACTTGGTTTTGGGTTTTGGGTTTTTTTTCTGTTTTGTAAAACTGTCATGGTAGAAAAGATTGTTTTGATGTAAAGGAAAATTTATATAGCTGTCCTGTTTGCATGATCTCTGCCTCAGGAAAATGGTTTTCTGTGGCTTCAGTGAAAGATTTGTTGCTTGCTTTAGCTTTTTAAAAAGGTATCTGTCTTATCCCATGGCGGGGGTGTCAAAGTTCCAAGGAATTCAGACCTCACCAGTGATTGATCTCACATGTGGCTGCAATTGATTCCCAGCATCACTGCAGAAAAACAGAATATTTTACTGGGTCTCCTAGGAGTAGGATCAGATAATCAATAAAGTGAAAGCAGTTATTTTGGCAAGCATTTTTTTTAATAAAGTGCACATTGGCCCTCTAATTGAGGGTGTGATACTGGCTGTCTAATCTTAAATATGTCTTTGTTTGGCTTTGCTTAGTACTCTTGTTCACTAAATATTGCAAAATATATGGAGAATGAGGAGGCAGTAGTAGTCCGATGTAAAAATGGTGTCTTCTTCCTGTAGAGTTCTTTCTTTCCATAAATCAGAAGTACATCTCTTTAGATTTATGCTGGCACTTATATTTTTTACACTCTATAGCACTGCAAAACTCATACAGCTGCATGGGATTAAGCTGGGTTCTATTATCCCTCTGACAATACATAATCAGCAGAGATGAACTAAAAAAATCTATTTGAGATTTTGTAGCATCTGAGGCCCTTGGCAGGCATTAAAATAACGGTGAGAGTGGAATCTGAGGAACGTTTTTCCCAAGCTCAAAAACTGTGTATCCTGCTATGCCATATGTGTATGGCAGGATGCACAATGTTTGGATGAACCGTAATATTCCTCAGATCCAATCTTGCTACTGCTGGGGGCTACCCACAGGACCTGCTACCCATGTATTGGGGAGTAGATGGCTGTATCCTGGACCCCGGGCCTGCCATGTGTCCAATCCAGTTCTCAGTGGACTTTACAATATGGGACTGGGCACAGGGTAGCCCTGAGTCTAAAAACTACATGTGGAGACTAGATTTTGTTTAAGTACGGCTTAAGCAGAGGCTATGGATTCTCATCTCATTATTTGAACTAACTTTTTATAACCTGTGTGTCCCTATGAATGCACTTTGTTTAACTCCTTTTGCATCTCTCAGCAGTGTCCTCTCTTTTTCCTCCCCGTTGCATCTCTTTTTTATTTAAACTACTGCTTTCTATTTAAAACCCTCGCTCCCTGCAGATCCACTCGTAGAATGACAAATTCAAAGAATCTGTTGCTTACAAAAGCTTATGCCTCTGAATTAGCCTATACGATGCCACTCTGCCTTGCCTTCTGTACAAATTTTAGGTTAGTGATCTAATTAGAGAATCATTCTTTTTGACTTGGAAATATTGAATTAGAATGTGCGTCTGTGACACTGCAACTGAAAAGAGCCAGCAATTTGGGGAGTTAGGAAGAACCAGCTTCCGAATGTAAATAGCACATTTAATCTGTAAACCTGAAATCCAATCTAACCACTCAGTTACTTTTCAGAGTGTAATGGCACTCTAAATCCTTTGAACTGAAAAAGTAAAGATATTCTTGGTTTCAGTATTTTAGGCTTGCAAAAAGGTTTCTTTATTTAAACTTAATGGTTCTTGCACTAATCTCAGTTTGACATGGATTCAAAAGATTTGTGGATCTTTATTTCTGAAGGGTCATTATCTGTTGTATTCCTATAATACCAGAATACTTTCTTTTACTCTTCTAGGCTTCATTCCAGTTCTGTAAAGGTTCTGAATTTTCAGTATGGTCCGAATATTCAAAATCCTCTGTATGATGGGAGCATGTCTAAAGTTAACCTTCATATACTAGGAAAAAAAAATCATTAATGAATGTCTAACAAGCCATTCAGCTTGAAATATCGCTAAAACTATCCTTGGTCCTTTTCATTGTTGCAGATCCCTGCAACAGATGGTATGTCAAATCTTTTGTTCCACCCTATCAATACTTAGGAATAAAAAGGCAAGTTCAGAGCTGAGTTGAAACCTTATAAAATAGCTGTGTGTAACTGCAAAAAATGGCATTTTGTCTGTGTAATTCATAATGTTTTATATATTCAACTCATTCAGTTAACACAATAATTCTATAACACCACTTCAAAATGGAATCAGAAAATCCAAGTATTTACAGCTTGCATTGTGATCATAAAAAAACTTCCTTTTGTGACTTGAAATTTTGCAAGTGGGGGATATAGCATAGCCTATAGTGGTAGAACTCAGCGTGTCACTTATTTCAAAATAAATGTATCCACAGAGGTTTTAGTACCTATATAACTGTAGTAATTATGTTTGTGAATTTCCCTGTGCCAGCAAGCAAGCTCCTTGCAAGGGCAAAGGCAAGGCTAAAATGTGCCTAAACTAGGTCTGTGCAGCATTTCAAATAAGGCTGGCTAGCTTGACTTGGGAGGGGGGAAAAATCTGTTAGTGTAAGTTTATAGAGAAAACAGTCTGTATGGCATAATGTTGGCTTGGGTACTGGAAGCAGCATATAAGTGCTTCTTTGCAGGCTAATTAGTCCTAGCACAAATGAGCGTTAATGGAGCTGTGCTGCTGCTGCCATTGCTGCTACTATCCAGAGTGAACTTCAGTATGTACACATCACTGAATTATACCGTGTGGGCATAACATGAATTGGCTATGTGTAAGATTTGCTTTCTGGTTCCAAACCAGTCAATCAGTTAAATAACTTGAATCCTTTGGTTTCATTAGTAGGTTCTACTTCTAGTTTTGATAGGCTTCTTTAAAAAAGAAATCTGCAGATTTTAAAAGTTTATTTCCCTTTAATCTAAGAGTGTGTGTGTTGGGGGGGGCGAGGGTAACATCCAAAAAAACATTTTCAACTAAATATCTTTTGTTATTCATTTTGGTGCTGCACTGTTTCTTAGTAGGGAGGGAGACTCTGCTGAAATAACTGTTAAACTTGAGTTCTTGGTGTATTGTTCATGGTGGGAATGTCACAGACCAGGGCTCCATTGTTTTAGGGGCTGTGCAAGTAAAATGAAACAGTCTTTTCCCAAAAGAGCTTCAAGCATTTGTGATCTTGTTCTCAGTACTGGGACACTAACATATCACCTTTAACTCTCAATTTAAGACTAGCTAAATGTGAAACTTTTGGCTTGATAATGATATTGATTTTTTTTGTGCTTTTTATTTTTAAAGGAGACGTGGAAAAGGTTTGAACAAACTATACTGTATCACTGGTGTTAAATCCATCTAATCCAGTTCTTTAATGAACTAGTTTTCCCGTTTCATGAACCTAGGTGAATATTTGGCAAGTGACCTACGTGTGGGTCTGGTGGCTATTTAGCTAAATAAAAATTGCCAGGCATGATAGGACAAGAGGACACTTGCCTAGGATAAATGTGAATGGTTATTATGCTGGTTAGCAGCAAGAGGGGTAAGTTACTCATTTTCATAACTGATGATCTGTCTCCTTCCTCCCCTTTCTCTTCATCCCCTTCTAGTTTTTGAAATTTGCTAATTAAGATGCAAGCTGCATTTCCACTTGGTATCTTCTATGGTGAATTTTGTGTGCTGCCAGCACAACAGCATATAGGTACTGGAAGTGTGTGAATGTATGTATACATGCTTTGGTATGTTGGTAGCAGCTGCTTTCTACTGGCAGAACCAGATAAGTGTTCTGTAAAACCACAGATATTGGGTGTTACAAATCTGTCATATGCATGAATCTGGTTGAAACTGCCTTTATTGTTACTCTAAACAAGTGAACAATTATAATTTCATAGTTTCATAGTGCTTAGGTTTGGAAGGGACCTAAACAGATCATCAGGTCTGACCCCCTGCCCTGGGGAGGAATGAGTGTGGGGTCATAACACCCCAGCCAAATATCTATCCAGCCTCCTCTTGAAGACTGCCAAGGTAGGAGAGAGTACCACTTCACTTGGGAGCCCATTACAGAGCCTGGCAGCCCTAGTAATAGCCCTGTAAAGTAATGTCTCCTGATGTCCAGCCTGAACCTTATCTCTAAAAATTTATGGTCCTTATTCCTAGTAACCCCGGGTGGTGCTGGGAGAACAGAGCCTCCTCCAATTCTTGCTGGTCCCCCCGGTGAATTTGTAAACAGCCACCAGATCCCCTTTCAGCCTTCTCTTGTGGAGGCTGAATAGGTTCAGACCCTTTAGCCTCTCTTCACAGGGCCTGCCCTGCTGCCCCCTGACCATGCGAGTGGCCCTCCTCTGGACCCTTTCAAGGTTAGCCACATCCCTCTTGAAGTGTGGCGCCCAGAACTGGACGCAGTACTCCCCTGACCAATGCTGCATAGAGGGGAAGGATCACCTCCCTGGACCTGCTTGTGATGCATCTGTAGATGCACGACAAGGTGCGGTTAGCCTTATTGACTGCTTCCTCGCGTTGGCGGCTCATGTTCATCCTGGAGTCAACAATGACTCCAAGATCCCTTTCTGCCACTGTAGACAAGAAGGGTGTTCCCCAGCCTATAGGTGTGTTGCTGGTTCCTTCTCCCTAGATGCAGCATCTTGCCCTTGTCTGCATTGAATTCCATCCTGTTCTCATCTGCCCACCTCTGTAACCTGTCTAGATCTAGCTGGATTCTGTCCCTCCCCTCCACCGTGCCCACCTCGCCCCACATCTTGGTGTCGTCAGCGAATTTGGACAATATGCTTTCCACACCCACATCCAGATCGCTGATCAAACAATCCGCAATTCTTTTTTGCAAATTTTTTTTTAATTTCAAGCTTGTATGCCAAACATTCCCAGCTGGTGGGTTCTAAGGGAGATTTAGCCTGCCATCAAAAATTTTTCCTATGGGACAAAAGCTTTGCCTGCTACCTTTTATATAACTACAATTCAATTGTAATAGTACTCAAAATCCTGCTGCATTTGTGGATTAATGAGTTTGTAATATTGCATTAGATATTTATGTAGGTTGCTTGTGTGTGTCGTTTAAGCCCTCCCCACTGAAACACTTTGTTTAGATTTCACGTATGGCTGAGTAGGCGGTAGATTTTACTCATTGTTTATAATGTAGGATTAATATGGACTTTATTTTCTTTTAACTGTGATTAACTAGTGAAGATATATAATTACTTTGGCATTAAATACCTTAGCTGTTTTTAATAAAATAGAAGATTATTTTAATGTGCACAATTGGTATAAGCAGCAACTAATTAGACATTCCATAAGGATTTTACCCACTGACAGATGGATGGTAATACAAATGTAATATATATCTGTAATAGTGCCAATCCCAAGCATTCGAAATCTTGAGTCAGTACCCCAAAGTCATGGAACTGGTTTAAAAAATCTGAAATTTTAGTCTCTAGGGTAACAGGAATTGAGTTTTTTCTTTGCAACCAAGAGGGCTAGAAATTTCTAATGAGACCTGATCTCAGAGACCTTGAAGTATGTGGAACTTACGAAAACGCTAAGCACTGTAACGTTGGCAATAAAATTGGGTTTAGCTATGCTGCATTATAGTAGGCTGCTACTAATCTGAAAATAATGGGTGAGTTAGTATTTGAAGAGATGTGTGAATATAGATTCGGAGGTGGATTTCCTGGTTAAGAAGTCGCTGCCTAAGTGAAATTTCTCTATACAGAGTGATCTCACTATGCCAAAGGGACAAATGTATAGTTTAAGTAATATATTTTTAATTTATTTTTAGTGGCTTGTAATGAGTTTTCTAATCTAGATGGAAGCATACAATCAGTGTAAACAAAGTATTATGAAAGCACAAAGGAGGAGGAAGAAAGACATTCACTGGGCGCCATGGGTGACTAGTGCCTCCCGAGTCTGGGGGGGCACCTGCAGAAGCTGGAGTCAGCAGCAGGGACAGGGCTGGTGAGCACTTGTAGAAGGCGGTGGGAGGTGGCTGGGACTGGTAAGCACCTGCAGAAGCCAGGATTGGCAGTGGGGCTGGGGCTGGTGAGTACCTGCAGAAGCCACCAGCAGTGGGGACAGCCCTGTCAGGGGGGCATGTGCCCCCTCTACCAGTTGCCTATGCTGGATGCATCTACATGTGCCCCTGTGTTGTTGTTACTGCACTGTCATTTAATACTTCCTTTTGAAAGTACTAAATGATGGCACAGTAACAGCCTGTATGTATTGTGCCATGCTGGTGGTGCATGGTTATTTTTAGCAGCTATATTGCCACAGCAATGCGCTATACTGAAGGAATGCATTGCTACGGTGACGTAGTGGCAGCATTACGGTTTTTGCCTGTGGATGCTATGTCACCATAGTGGGTTGCTATGGTGATGTAGTGTCACGTAGATGTGCCCACTCGTACATATATGGTGTAGTAATTTTTGTCTAATATTGTTTCTAACCACTTATTTTCTCTCCTTATTAGCAGGTAATGGTGCTCTGCTGGGAGTCCTGGATGTTGGTCTATATTCATTTCCATGCTTTATTCCATTGATTTCCAGGAGCTGCTGAACATTGGCAGTAGTACCCTTTCTTGTGTTTGGGGAACACAAGCAGCCACCCAGCAAGAGAACATTTGCAAGTGTGTAAAAACTCTATGGCAATACCAGAGCAGCCATACTTTTAACCCAAAGGCTAAGGACAAGCCAACAGATTGCAGTAAATTAAAGGGAGACAGACTGGCAGCTGTTCTGTGGTTCCTCTCCCTGTGCCTGCCCTTATTCTGCAGTAAGTGAAAGCTGAACCTCAGTAGTTTACCCCCAGTGAAAGAGGGCTTCCCAGGTTTAACTTTCATCATCAAGAAGTGAGTGTAGGCACAAAACTAGTATTTCCCTGCCCGCTTTTAAAGTGCTTTAACTTTTTATTTTAACTTAGAGGGATGAAACTCACCTGATCTGCAGATAGCCCC